CAGCGTAGGGGCAGCGGTGCGCAAGCAGCAGCGGAAGCAGCGGCGTGCAAGCGGCTGCGGGCAAGGCAGAAACGCGGGAGCGGCAGCGGGCGACTCGCGGGCAGCAGCGGCAGCAGCAGCGGGGGACCGGCGGGCGGCAGCTGCAGCGGTGCAAATCGCGGGCCGGCGGGGCCGCGGCGGGCTGTGCGCTAGCGACGCAAAGGCGTGCGAGCAGTGCGCGGGCAGTGCGACGGGGCCGGCAGCGGGCAGCACGCAGGCCGCGGGGGTAAAATGCGGGCTGCGTGCGCGGTGCGCGGGCCGGTAGCGGGCGGTGCGCGGGCCGTTAGGGGCGATCGCAAGGCCGACGGGGCCGCTAAGGGGCGAGCGGCGGGGTCGTTCGAGGCGCTAAGGGGCGGCGCGACGGGGCCGTGAGGGGCCTCTAGGTCAAATGCGACGGGGCCGCGGGGCCTCTAGACGGGGCTCGATCGACGGGGCCAGCGGGGCCGAATAAAAAAAAAAAAAAAAAATGAAGCGCTCGAGGGCGCTACGGGGGAGGCGCTAAGAACGCGCTCCGGTAGTAGGTAGGTAGTTAGGTAGCGAACGGTGGGCCCTTAGGAACGGTCCTAGAGAAGGACCTGCTCTGAAACCATGTCAGTAATAACGGACTGGAATGATGGACTAGCAAGGATTGTGAGTACAAATATGAAACCCTAATGTTGTGACCCCCCTATAGGCTAACCCACTACAGCCTACACAAATACAACATATATAATGTTTGACAGTCTTCTATGAGACCATGTCGGAAGAGGTGTTGAAGTCGGAGCACGGGCCGGCGTCGGGGCGGACGCAGGTCAGCCAGCTGACCGACACCTCAACAGCGGCACTTTCCCTGTTTGCCGAGGTCGGTCAGCTTGCTGATGAGGATGCCGATGTCGTCCTCCCTCCTTCCCCTTCCCCTGCCCCTCCTGCCCCACCCGTTGTAGCCGACCTTTGAAGGCTGATATCGACGTCGGCCAACAGCGATGAGGGGAAAAGTGGGCCCTCACGTTTGGCGCCGTCCAAGAGCATCGCCGGTGGCCGATGTGACGTCCAGCAAGTCGTCGTTGGAGTGAAGTCGACGCCGACACGGAAGGAGCAGGCCGAGGAGATGCAGCCGACTTTGGTGAAGCCGGCGAAGGAGCCATTGGCAGGCAACAGCGAAGCCGACCAAGGAGCAGTCGGCGATCGGGCAGTCGGTGGGGGAGCCGACCGCATGGGAGAAGTCAGCAGGGACGCCGACTGTTGTGCCGCAGGACGTCGAGGGCAGCGACCCCGGTGACGATGGAGGGGACGCTGAGGAGTCTACTGATAGCGACGTGGTGGATGTCCTTCCTGGCACGGCATACAAACCGAATTCGGATGCCGCCCGATCTCTTCGTATCAGTCGCCTTCACCACAATGTATGACGAGGTCGACGATGACCTGCTGTACGACGACGCCGAGGAGGATAAAGATCTGCCGGAGCTCGACCCCGACATGCACGCCGACCCCGAGCATTGCTGGGCCATCTCCACGATGACGGTGAAGAAGGCACTGGCGTGCTGGAAGGGCAAGGCGGAGAAGGCCGCCATGGAGGAGGAGATCCGCAGCCTCATCGGCATAGGTACCTGGGAGCTGGTCGAACTCCCACCCGTCGTAAACATCATGAAGAACCGGTGGGTGTTGACGACCAAGTACCGCATCGACGACACCGTCGAGCGCGAGAAGGCGAGATTGGTCGTGAAGGGCTTTACACAGGTGTATGGCGCCGGCTACGACGAGACGTACGCGCCGGTGAGCAGCTATATTACACTGAGGATTTTCCTCAGCATTGTCGCCGTCCTCGACCTCAACCTGATGCAGCTCGACATGAAAAACACGTTACTGCAAAGCAAGCTCGACAGGGTGCTCACCAGCCGGACTACTTTGACGACGGGACTTGCAGGCTGTGCAAGCTGTTGAAGAGCCTTTACGGGCTGAAACAGTCGCCGCTGCTATGGTACAAGGCGCTTAACAATGTGCTGGTCGGCGCCGGGTGGAAGAAGAGCCAAAACGACAAGGCTATGTACTTCAAGGTCGGCGAGGATAGTGCAGCCTGCTGGGTGCTGGTCTACGTCGACAACCTGCTCGCTGCTAGCAGCAGTACCACAATGCGGAAGTAGCTGAAGGAGCTGGTGGAGGCCACCTTCGAGCTGGGGAGATCTCGCCGGTGGAAAAATACCTCGGGCTAGAGATCGTGCGCGACAGGCCGGCAAGGAAGTTGTGCTCAACTCTGACTCTTCGCATTCATTCTCGATACTGCGTGCTTCACTTAGCTGCGGTTAGGAGTGCACAATAGTATTTCCACTATTCGTAACAGCGTTAACCAACTCATATACCTTCGTGAGTGCCTCGTAATGTTCAATTTGTGTTCACAAATTAAAGGGCAGCACCCGAATTGCTCAACGGAGTCAACGCGGAAAAAACTAGAAAGGCAAGCAATTGGAGGTTCGGAGAACTTCCGAAACCCTTTTTCCCTGAACCCAGTATGGGCGAGACACAAACTGCGGTTAGTTTGTGAATGCATTTTCGTAATTCGGGGGCTGTGCCTTAAAGGAGAAGTTTACACTTGCCATTCAGTTACCTCTATGCTAAAGCTCATTTGAAATGAGAGCCATTGTGGACCAGTTCACATGCGGCAGCAGTAAGGAGTCACATTTAAACTTGTTACTATTGGAGTGTCGGACCACAAGCAGGCCCCTCGATTCGTTTTGGACCACGCTGATCCATCAGCCCTGGTACTCCAAAAAACACTGACGATCGGTGTCACCTTGGAAAAAAAGCGTTGATTGCAAGGCCCAAAATTGGTCAAAGGCCAACCTAGCTAATCATAGTTGTCAGAATCTTACGAGCAGGAATGAGCTTCACTAGCGAGAAATGAAAGTACAAGTACCTAACCCTAAAAGGGTTGTACTACATCCTACAGGCATATAAATTGGTTTTGACACACCCCCAAAAGCAAAGTGGGGGTAAGCAAGAACAACCAAAGCCAAGGGTGTATCAGAAAGTCAACACAGTGTCCGAGCACAAGCAAATGGTCACAAGACCAGTTCACATGCAGAGTTATAAAGAGCACAAGTAGTAGAGTGATCACAACCTAGCAAGAGTAAGCATGCAGGCATATATATATATATATAGAAAGATCACTGTACAAGGCAAAGTCAAGCAATAAGCGAGTGAGGCAGAGTATGCACAAGGCCTAGAGCAGTGCAGAAACGCTGATGATCACGAGACGCAAGTGCCTTGGTGAAAATATCAGCAGTGTTGGCCCGTGTGGCCACGTAAGCAAGACGAAGCTGACCACCATGCTGCAACACTCGTGCGGGGAAGTAACGCAGAGCGATATGCTTCGTTCTGTGCTCCAGTCTGTGCTCTCGACACAAGGCAATCATGGCCTTGTTGTTGACGCACAGATTACGAAGGAGAACGAGGCCGCTCTCCCAAGTCGGTAAGTAGGTAGGTCAGCCAGCGTAACTCCTGTGCAGCCATGGCCCCCGCGTAGATCTCAGCCTCACAACTAGAGCTGAGAACAGAAGACACACACACACACACACTCACACACACACACACTCACACACACACACACACACACACACTCACACACACACACACACGCACACACACACACGCACACACACACACACACATACACACATACACACACACACACACACACACATCCACACACCCACACACACACAAATATACACACACATGTACATACACACACACGCATGCACGCATGCACACACGCACACACAACACACACACACACACACACACACATACATACACACACACACACACGTACGCGCACGCGCACGCGCGCGCGTGCGCACACACACACACAAACATACACACACACACACACACATACACACACACACATACATACACACACACACACACACGCACACACGCACACACGCACGTGCGCGCGCACGCATGCGTGCGCACACACACACACACACACACACCCACTCACTCACACACACACAAGCAAAGTATTGTACATGCTTGCAAGAAACACGGTTTTGGCAAGACCTGTGATTTCAGTCAGAAACACATACTACTTGAGGTTGTTAGTGGAGCACCTAAGGGGATTTAATCCATCAGCTGCGTGTGTGCGCGCGCACACGCGCGTGTGTGTGTGTGTATGTGTGTTTTTGTTTCCAATGATATCATGAGATTCGAGGGTCTTGACGGGATGAGATGGGCATGATATCGGGCAGTATGATCAGGATTTGCAGAAGGTATGGGGATGATTAAATTGCATGGGGATGGGATGGATTGGAAGTAATGGCGATGGAGGAATGCAGCGAAGGAATGGGAGGCGGGGAGATGGTGTGATGTCTGAGGGGATCGTGGGAATAAGGGAAATTTGGATCAAGGGAGTAAGGGCAGAGGGGATCATGGGAAAGAGGACAGAGGGGAGCATGGGAACGAGGGCAGGGGGGATAATGAGATCAGGGATAGTGGGGAGCATGGGAAGGACTATGAGGAGGCAGGGGGGAGCTTGGGATTGGGGAAAGTGGGAAGCATGGGATTGGGGACAGGGGGGAGCATGGGATTGGGGACTGGAGGCAGCATTAGATTGGGGACAGGGGGTAGCATGGGATTGGGGACAGGGGGGAGCATGGGATTGGGACTGGGGTCAGCATGGGATTGGGGACAGGGGGGAGCATGCGATTGGGGACAGGGGGGCGAAGGATAGGCATGAAGTCAGAATGACAACCCTATTGATTTGGTGAATACGTATAACATTGTAATGCAGAGGTTGAAAATGTGCTAAACTAACTAATCCCACATGAAATGCTGATCCCATGAGCATATGGAATTGTGCATTAATTGTACTTATATAGCATTCGCATGACAATTGGTGCCATTCACGCATTATTACCACCCTTTTCTGAACCAGTTCACAGACAACTTGCAACACAGTGAGCCACCCTATACGAAGAGGTCTAGATGACGGCAGCAGCCTGGCACTCGGAGACGTCGGCCATGGAGTAGCTGTTGCCGTTGCTGAAGCGCAGCTCCGACGCGCAAGGGCGCCAGTCACTGGTCCACGCATACAGAATGTTGAACGTCTCCCCGGGGAACATCTGCACAGTGCCGGTAGCACCGCGGTTCATGCGCATCTCACAGTACCCCATCGAGGACTGCACAAAGATGTCGCCTGTCTGGTACTGCGTGGGGTTGGGCGCGGGGTTGTCGAGGCTGCCCTCCCACACGTTGCCGAAGTTGGCGCACTGGTACACGCGCAGCGGGCTGGTGACGTTGTAGGCGCAGCCGTTGTAGAAGGTCATGTTGTAGATGTTTTTGTGCAGGTCGTACGGCCCCAGGTACTGCGACCGGATCGTCACCGTCGTGCGCCCACAGGCTGGGGAGGAGTAAGGGTTGGGGTAGATGGGGTGGAACAAGAAATTAAGGACTTGATGTGGGAATTCGAGTGCTACAGGTGCTGGGAAATGAGTGCTGAGGGGTGCAGGGAACTGAGTGGTGGGGGAGCAGAAAAGCAGTGCTGAGGTGAACAGGGAACTGAGTGCTGATGGGAGAATGGGTGATGAGGGGAACAAGGACATGAGTGCTGAGAGGAGCAGGTGGTGAACGAGTGCTGAGGTGAAGAGGGAAAGGAGTGCTGAAGGGAGCAAGGAAATGAATGGCGGGGAAAGCAGAGACATGGGCGTCAACAGAAGCACTGCCAAGGCACCAGCGCGGGTGGAGAGGGAAAGAATGGCAGCAGCAACGAGCGTAGAGAGGGAGAAAGGGAGCAGCAGCAACGTACTGGTGGCGAGGGCCTGTCGGCGGGGGATGTGGTCGAGGTAGCCGGGCAGAGGGGCGTCATGAGCGTAGGTCTCAGCCGCCAGAATGCGCCCGCCCTTCCTCTGCTGCCCCGCCGCCCCCGCCCCGTCCGTTGGGACGAGGCCCCTGGCAACCTTCATGGCGTCCCGCGCTCCACACATCGCCGCCGCTAGCAGCCCCACCGCCAGCGCTGCCAGCACCAGCACGCGCATGCCAGCCGTCGCCATGAGGGTGAGGGCTTGCACGGATGTGGCTTCTGAGTTGGCTCGGAATCGGGCTTGCCAAGCAGCTGGAGAGAGCCGGAAGGCTGCTGCAAACGGGCTCTGGTGGAGCAGATTGAGAAGAGAGGCCGATTGGAGCTGATGATTCCATGGTTGCACATGGCGCCGGCTTTATAGGCGGAGGTGAAAGGCGCTCTGGAGAGAAGTTGGCTAAGGATTCGTGTCTCGTTGAGCGGATGAGGTGGATGAGGAGTCTCTGAAAGCGACTCGATCATTGGAGGAGATGAGGCGTCGGCGGGAGGCGGGTGATGGGAAGTGATCGCAATCGTCGATCGCACGTGGTCGTTCCGAATGCCACTGTCGCGTCGGTCGCTGTGGCAGTGGCGATGAGTCTGACTAGGGCGAGACGTCGCGACGAAGACTCTCATTGTCCGCTTGGCCAGTCACGGTGTAGCGCGGATCATGCGGCTTGCGGGACATCATGCCAAGCGACGGAGAAGAAAACGGAGTCGGAGGGCAACACCGAGACATTCAGACATCTCATGAGCGGCTCGATCTGCCGTCATATTGTAATTCATGCGACGGAATCTGCGTTTGCTGGTGGTTAAGCGAAACGACGGCGCTAACTACCACCCGGATCACTGCTCGTATCGCTCTCTCACCCGTCCTGACTCCTCATGTGTCGCCTCGTCTCACTACTTTCCTTTCGCGCCCAGGTTTGAATAACCGGAGCTGCACGGACAGTTAGAGGCATTTTGTGTGTCTAACGACATGCAGTATCCGAGTCGCGTTCAACATGCGCGTTTGCAACCAGAAAAGCTGTCTAACCGACAAATTACAAGCGAACTCGACGAATCACAGCAGACAAGAGCTCGTCGGTAATGCCAGCGGCTGTCGTCTGTTCTGTTGACTGAACACAAGCAGGAAGAGAAGAATTGACGAGAGCCTGTGAGGAAAAGCAGCAAGTCCATTTTGATCTTCCCCTGGGAAGACTGTTGGTGTTCCCCAGAGTCATTGCAGAAACGGTTATTGCTCCCCAGCAGCGCGTATGCGAAGACTGCTGACAGGGGGTATGCTTCGCCATCGGTCACTATCGTGCGGGGTTGCAAAATCTAGCGACAGCAATTTTGTTACCCTGTGGGTACTCGATTCAAGAATCTGTCGAGTTCGCCAAGCTGGTGAATTGGTCATTCGTGCTTCAAAGTGTTCCACATTATTTCTCAAGACTCCTGCTCAAAATGCTGTACTTATTCTTACATACATAGATTGCTCGTTGATAAACTTTGATTTTCACACGCCCATTCAAAATTGTTACCTTCACATTCCCATCCCCACTTTGGTGGCGTTTGCTACGATCAGTGAATGATCGACCCTAGGATCACCTCGGGAAGGTTCACATGCAGCTTGGTTGGTAGTGGTAGGCCCTTGACCTCCGAATCCGAACAGAGTGAATGTAAAATGTTTGAGATGATTAAATCAACCAAATACATGCATATAAATAGTTGTACAGGGGAATACGAAACGACATAGCTAGTCATGTACTCCAAGAGGTGCATTCCCTTATTCAAATTCAAACCCAACCGTGCGGCGCGTACAGTTGCGAAACTGTTCCCGCTAATTCCATCAATCCTGCAGCTGCCCGATGTCGTCTGCTGCAACTGTCTGCGTCGCTTCGAGTCAACTCTGACTCTTCGCATTCATTCTCGATACTGCGTGCTTCACTTAGCTGCGGTTAGGAGTGCACAATAGTATTTCCACTATTCGTAACACCCCCCTTGACTCCTGGCTGTAGCTCGACTTGACCTGCTTGACTACTCCGCTGAGTTCGGAGCAGTGCTGGTACTGCTGGCGTGGCAGTCGCTTCGCCATGAAGTCAGCTGCCATGTCACCTGTTGGGCAGTACGTCAAGTCCACCTTCCCCTTGTCTACTTCGTCCTTGACGAAGAAATACCGCATCGCATTGTGTTTGGTGCGGATGACGAATCCGGGCTTGTTCGCGATGCGGATTGCGCTCTGGTTGTCGCAGTGCAGAAGAAAGGTTGGCGAAGCTAGGATTTTCGCCTCTCGTAGGAGATTCTGTGAATAGAGGCCTTCGCGAACTGCCCGTGTTGCGGCGATGAAAACGGCTTCGGTCGACGACATGACAACCAGCTACTTTTTCTGCGAGTTCCATGATATTGGTCCTGTCGGCTCGAGGTGAAACAGGAACCCATTCCTCGACCGTCGATTGTCGGGGTCTGCTGCGTGATCAGCGTCCACGTAGCCGATGAGGTTGAAGGATGGGGTTGGCACTGTTGAGTAGCAGAGCCTAATCTTGGGCGTTGAAACGGAGAACTTTAGGGTGCGCTGTAGATCCAGAAGGTTCTCAGGAGTTGGTTTGCCAGAGTACTAAGCCAGTTGGCTCGCGATGTAGGGAAGGTCGGGCCTGCAGGTGACGGAGGCGAAGAGCAGGCATCCCAGCTGCTGCTGGTAAGTCTGGATTCCAGCAGGGGATAGGGCTTTGTTGTCGGGTTTGTGGTTCGGTCGAGGTGTGCGATAAGGGGTGGAGAGCGGCGCAAGTGAAATCTTGAATCTTTTCCTAAGCTCCTCTGCATACTTAACCACCGGGAGGTGAATGGCTTCTGGCGCGTAGGAGATATCAAGTCCCAAGAACTGCTTCACCTCGTTGCTGCAGGTAATATCAATGCACGCTGCCAGATTCCTCTCGAACTTCTCGAGCAGTTCGTTGCTTGACCCCGTGTAGAGCAGATCGTCGACGTAGACGGTGACTAGGATGTAATCACTGCGGAAGTCGCGGCGGTACATCCCGGGGTCTTGAGGCATCTGCTTGAAGCCTATTTCTAGCAGAATGTTGTGCTGGTACTGTCGCCTGAGCCATGGCGCTTGTTTGATCCCATGAAAGGACTTGCGCAGCTGACACACGTGCGAGTCTCCTTCTCCGTACGTGTGCGGCTGCTCCACGTAGATGACTGCATCTACTAACGCGTACAAAAATGCGTTCTTCACATCGATTTGACGCAGCGGCTACGGCGAGCAGAATTCTGACGGATGTGTGACGGCTGACTTGTGCAAATGTTTGATCAAAATCAATCCCGTGCCTCTGATCGTAGCCACGCACCACCCAGCGTGCCTTGAACCGTTCGATCGTGTTGTCTGCTGTGGTCTTCACACGGAAGACCCACTTGCCAGAAAGGATCCTTGCTTTCTTGATTGCAGCACGGTCGACGAGCACCCAGGTGTCTCGGGATTCGAGCGCCTTAATTTTCGCAGCCATCGCCTCGCCCCATTTCTTGCTGTGTCATCCAGTGAGAGCTTGGCACGGATTTTTCGGTTCGATGACGCGTGGTGCCGCTGAGGTGGCGGTGTGGAGCCCAAGAAGCTGCATCCCAAAGACAGTGCTGTCGTGGCGATGCCGCGGGATAACCTCCTGCACGTCGTCGTCGTCACTCTCTGGTTCAGGTGGTGCTGGTGACGCTACGCCTCTGCAGCTTCCTCCTGTTCCGCCTATTCCTCCCCCAGAGGAATCGTCGTCGTCGTCGTCGCTATTTTGGCAGTCTCTTCCCGTGAACTCGCCCCTGGTGTCCTGCTCCAGGATTGCTGCAGCGGCTTCGTCCTCAGGTGTTGCGTAGCTATGCCCGTCATTCGCGTAAACGCGATTCGCGTTCATTTGCTCGTCGTGGCGGAATTGCTCGAGAAAAAGGCACTCGTAGAAGATGACGCCGCGTGCGTGGGTAGTTTTCTGGCTGAGTAGATCCAAGATGATCCATGCCTTGTGCTCGTGGCTGATGCCGAGATGAATTTCCTAGCGCACGCGGCCGGCGAACTTCCCGATAGTTGACGTCGGCGGGCGATATTGCACCATGCACCCCCACACACGGAACATGGATGTGTCCCCCTTTGTCCCCGCCCGCTTCAGATGTGGAGATAGGTTGCCGATGATGGAGGTGGTTGACAGCAAGTTGTGCACCCGCACGACGTGGTACATCGCGTAGGTCCAGTAGATCGGCGAAAGCTTTGACTGCTTCATTAGCGCCCGCACTTTCGTCATGAGCGTGCGATTCGTGCGCTCGGCTACACCCTCCTGCTGGTGCACATAGGGGAGAGAAATATGATGTTCGATTCCCATTTCCCCATGAAATCTTGCAGCCTCTCGCTCCTGAACTCTGCTGCGCCGTCAGATTGCCAGATTTTCAGCTTCTCCCGAGATTGTCGTTGCGCGTGCAACAGCCAGAGGTAGAATACTTCGTACGATCTGCTGCGCGCTTCTACGTTCACGACCCACACGTAGCGCGTCCCAGCGTGGATGAAGGTGAGCATATACAGCTCGTGATTGACTCCGCAGTGCCCCACGTTGAGGAAATCGCTGTACACTTTGAACAGCTTGGGGTAGCGGTTGGTTCCTGGTTCGAGCAATGGGAACGGCTAGTGGCTTAGGGCGTGTGCACTAGGGGTTCGAACTTTTATCTAAATCCGGACTTTTAGCGAGGTTCTACTCGGTACAGTACATTTGAGAGCCGCGTCGCCACGGTGCAACGGTAAATGTTTGAACTTTGACCATTTTTTGCCTAAATGCACACGCCTTAGCGCAGCTTCGGGGCAGACGGTGCAGTTGCGCGGGTGTGTCGCGCCTCTCACTTCGCTTCCGTCTGGGCGCAAGAGTGCGCCAGGGGCGAAGACGCCAGCTTCGATGCAGTTTTTTTGTGTTGCACGAGAGGGATATCCAAGGCGCTGATGCCAGAGGTCATCGCTGGCACGGAATCTGGAGGTGCGCATCTAACGTGCGCGTGCTGCTTTGGGGTCTTCGTCAGGTACTGGGGCAGGATCCGCTGGTGCTCCTTCTACTGCTTCCTCTTCGCCATTTGTCGTGGTTAACATTGGCGCCAAAAATTCTTTGTCGTGGATGATAGAATAGGGAATGT